CAGGTCTGATTGCGCTGAACGGTTCTTATTAGGAGGTAGATGAAATTCATGCACTCGCTGTTCAAAAGCATCTTTCTTTGTTATCTAGGACTCCAACTGATTGGCGTTCTTGCAGAGCTGGTTTCTGGAGTCATATTTTCTTGGTCATGGCTACTTCTGGTATGTGATATTATGCACTAAATGCTCTGATATTGGTTTTTTTCCTCTCAATTTCCTCAGAAATGATTCAAAAAATCCAGTCTAGTAAAATCAAGCGTTGTCACGGGGGTTTTCACCCATCTCGAGGCTGCTTTGGAGAAGCTGTTGGAACCGGGTGCTTGTGACAACATAACGAAAGCCCTCTCGGAGGAGGCTGGTAGCAGATGGGCTTCAGCTCAGCTGCATGCCATCTGCTCTGTGAACAGAACTGACGATCATCTTGGTGATCAAAGCTGGTGTGCTGGTACAGCTGACACCATGCCAGGGCCTGATGTGTCTCCTCATAGGTGTTTGAAGAGAGAAGGCTGGCTTGCATGGTTCTTTGAAACCTGGTGTCAGGTCTTTAGGCAGACACCTTGAAACCTCCTTAAACTTGTCATTGGAGAATGGGTGAATTTTCCTTGGCAATGGGGATAATCTTGTTTTCATGGCCCTGGATATTAAAGGCTGAAAATCAAATGTCAGGTGCTTGGACTTCATAAATGCATGATGAAAAACTGCAAACAAAATTGCCTGCCATGGCTTTGGATGGTGATGCTGCTGCTTAAAACTAGAGCATTGGCTCCCATGCTAACTGCTTCCTTAGGTGGGCTTTGTGGGGCTGAGTATTTGGAGGCTGTTGTTCAAGTTACTTCAGTTCCTAGCTTAAAATATTGTTCTGTTTCTTTGTGTCTCCCCCCTCATGTTCCTAGATATTCAAGTGAAGGAACTGGAAAAGCGTGCTTCTGGGCAGGCATTTGAGCTGATACTCAGTCCCCGCTCAAAAGAAGCCGTTCCAGAATTCCCTCTTTCTCCCCCAAAGAAGAAGGATGTGTCATTGGAGGAGATCCAGAAGAAATTGGAAGCAGCAGAAGAGAGGCGTAAGGTAAACTTGAATCAGCCTAAGTGAGCTCTGCTCAAGCAGTCTGGGCAAGTTGTTTTGCTTTTTGTTTGGCTTTGTAAATTACTATTAATTGGATGCGTGGGACAAGTGATCCTCAATTTGTATTATGGTAAATGGAGTATTCATTGAACTACTTTGGAATCTCTGAGGCTTTTGGGAACCTTTGTTATGGTCTGCAAAGCTCCAGCTTTGTTCCCAAAGTGGTCTTGAATGGTCACTTGAAAAACTGGGAGAGCAAATGTGTAGTTGAGAGGGGATGTGCTTTCAGGATGAAGTGTTTCCTGGTCTTCAACATCGTAAGATCCGTTTCCTCTTAGAAGACGTAGTGGTGAATGTGCAATGAGAAGGTGTGTGAATGCAGTGTCAAACTTGGTGCAGGATCCTGCTGTTGAGATGTAGCTTGGAGCTCTTGAATATGCAGAGGCTTACGAATGGAAGTGCCTCTGTATGACCTGAATCACAAAGATTCACCATTCTGAGAAGTGAGAACCTTCTAGGAAGGATCCATCAGTGTTAATACTTGAAAAAGTCTTTTTTTTTTTTTTTTTCCCCCCAGAAAACCCCATTTAACAAAACCTGTGTGTAACAACAGAAAGGGAAGTCTTGTGGGAGGGTGTGATGGTGAAATACGGGTTCTGTGGGTAGGGGAGCACCAGGGAGCTTGGTCCTGTATCAAAGTTGTGCTGTTGTAAACCAGCAGCAAATCTTTCCTCCTGGGAGCTGTGAGCAGCGCAGCTGTAGCCGTCTCTGTGGTTCCTCTCTCATGTCAAAGCACCCCTCCTCTGTTTCATTAGTCTCATGAAGCAGAAGTCCTGAAGCAGCTGGCTGAGAAGCGGGAGCATGAGAAGGAGGTGCTGCAGAAAGCCATTGAGGAAAACAACAACTTCAGCAAAATGGCAGAGGAGAAGCTGACCCACAAAATGGAAGCGAACAAAGAAAACCGTGAGGCACAAATGGCTGCTAAACTGGAGCGCTTGAGGGAGAAGGTGGGTGTGGAGTCCCAGCTCCCCTTTGGGAGCCAGTTTATCCATGCTCCTTACTTCAAATCCTGCTTAAATAAAGCCGAGTAAACGGCCAAGTGAGGGGGGTGCTATGAATCTATAGACACAGAACGTGGTGGTTCTGTGCTGGTCTCATCTTGAAAGGTTAAATCTGCAGAGGACTGCAGAAATCCTCCTGCTGGGAAGAGGGAATGGATGCAGTTGGAGCAGCATCTCCCTCCTTTCTTACACAGCTTCATCGTGGAGCTGGTGTCAGTAACCTGTGCTCGCAGGTTGCTGTGGGGAGCAAGCTGGAGCCTGCCCGTCAGCTAACTGCTTCCTTGCTGTTGCCTTGCAGGACAAGCATATTGAAGAGGTTAGAAAGAACAAAGAAGGCAAAGACCCTGGTGAGGCTGAAACCGACTGACTTCATTCTGGAAACTGACTCTCTCCCCCTCCTCTAAATATCCAAAGACTGTACTGGCCAGTGGTTTTCTCTTTGGTTTTGTTTCGGTTCTGTTTTTTTTTCTTTTTAAGTTTCTAGAAACTGATGTAGAGCTGTAAAATTAGATCCAAACTGTACACTTTGCGTGGGGGCTAGAGGAGAGACCTTCCGTGTTTCACTTTTTCTAAAGTGTTGTCTTTCCAGTGTAGCTATCTTCTTGTTGCATCCTTTTCTACTCCAGCGCGCTTGCTGCTGGGTTGATGGCTAGTACTGTATCAGCTCTGTAAGACGTTTGTGAAAGGAATAAGTAAAATATACTGTTCCATGCTAAATATGTTACACTTCAAAAATCTGACTCTGTCCCAGTCTGCTAAAATACTGCTGTAACTGAGTGACTAAATAAAGCTGCACAGTGCTGTTATGAGAATAACTTCTGACAATGGCATGAGAAACCACATGGGTTGGCTGAGGTGGGCAGCAGGCTCCCAGTGCTGGGTGGAAGGGTCCTCACATCCACGGCCGTGCTGCTGCCTTTCCTAGAGCACTCTCATTGTCTTCATTCTACAATCAGAGCTTTGTTTGGACACCTCAGCAGGCGTCAGCTGTTGTGTGGTTTTTGTCCAAAGGAGTTCAGGGCCACCTCCCTTTGGGTGCTGATGCTTCAACAAATGAGTCCTTGTTACCACATGACTGATCTGAGCCTGCTTTTGATGAGGGTTGCTAGAAGATGACTTGTTCTATTCAGTGGTGATTTGTGTCCCGCATCCTGTGGTGTCAGAGCATGGAAGGCAGGGACCTGTTCTGTGCTGGGATCCTCTGCCTGCCCCAGTGACAATGGTGCTGTGGCCAGGAGTTGTTTTGGTGTGTACCAGATGCCTTGGGCCAGCACTTTGTGCCTCAGGCTGGAGATTAACTCCTGCGTGCAAGGATGTGTGTCTGTGTTCTGGTGTGTGAGGAATGGGTATGAGTGCACTTGTGCTCTGAGGAAAGGCGCTTTTTGGGTGCGTTGGGTACAGAGTTGCTGTAGGGTACAGCTGCCTTGAAAACACCCCAGACCCTTCCTCTAAGCACATATGTAGGGGCTCATGCTCCTCTGTGGGGAAGGCAAGATTGCAATTGGGGTATGCACAGCCACAGAACTTCAGCATAAAGCTCGTGCTCTGAAGTCTCTGCTGCAGTGTGTGCGCTCAGAGTAGGGAAGCCTTGGGTGTCAAACAGTGGTGGCACTGCTCTTGGTGAGCACCTGTCTTCCTCCATTTGCACTCCTGATCTCAAGGTTCGGCTGCAGGATGGCTCCACATACGGAGCATCCTGCACTGCGCAAGTGACATTCTTCTTGTTTTCTTTAAGGGGCTAATGCATCCTGGACCTCTTGACATGTCTTCTGGGGCTTGCTAAAGAAGGAATCTCAGTTTAGAGAGCTTTTATGTATCACACTTGCTACCCTTGATTGCATCAGAGTTGTGCTTAACCAAAAGCTGATACTGCTCTGTTTGAATGAAGGAAGAATGGAGATAAGCCAGGCACGGGCAGCTGTGATTGGGTCCTTTCCCTGAAGGAGTTTCAGAGTGTTTTGATCCTGTACTTTCACCCCCTCTGCAGCAGAGGCATAGGGCAGGTTTAGGGCTTTTAATGGCACATGTCAATTTTGTGTAAGCTGAGAGCATGGGGCTGTGGGCCAGGCTCCATGTGCGGAAGTGAGGGCCAGGGAATACAGAGCTAACCTTTGAGGCAAAAGCTTGAACCTGCTCCATAGTGTGCTTACCAAAGAGGTTGAAGATCTAGCGCTGCATAATGGAGCTGTGAGTGCTGGGTCAGATGCCATGTACAAGATCAGGCATAATTAGCAATGACAAAACCCTCAGGTCATTGTTAATACATTCCTTCACTTGTTGAGGAAAGAAGGAAAGTCCCAGATACTGTGTGTGGGGTTCCTGTTGTCTGTCCAAGGGCTGCAGGAGGACGGTGATGGCACTGCCAATACCCAAATGGTTATTAAGCACAAAGAGACATTGAGAGTGAGTTTCTGACTTGCCAAAGCTGTCACATCCCAGCTCAGGGCCTTCTGTTCCCCTGGCTTAGTCCTGCTCTGTGTGGCTGCCTGTGTGAAGCTTAACTGGAGCTTTACGGCCAGGGTCTGAGCTTGGTTTTACAAATACTCGGAGCTGCTGTGGGGTAATGGAAGTTTTGGGGGGTGGGAATGAGATCTGAGGGAGCAAACAGTGAAAGGACGCAGTGATCTGAGAAGGGAAAATGGAGGGGGGGAAGAACCAGCTCGCGGGAGCTGCTGCTCGGGCAGAGCGGGACCGGTGTCTCCGGCAGGAAAAGCCGCGCTGGAGCGAAGCGGAGAGGATGGAGAGCCCCGAACGGCCGCGGTCAGGGATGGGGGGGGGGGCGCGCAGCCGGGGCAGGAGCGGCCGCGGGGCGGGCCGGGGCGGGCGCAGGGGGCGGAGGCGCTGCGGGTCGTGGTGCGCAGCGGGAGCGGAACGGAGCGGAGCGGAGCAAGCAGCAGGTTGGGGGGGTCCCGCGGCTTGGCGGAGAGGGGGTGGGGACGACGGGGTGGGGACGGGGAGGGGAGGGCCCTGAGAGCGGGCCCGATCCCTGCCCGCCCCGGGAGGCACTGCCAGGGCACGGCCGCTGCGGTGAAGGTGAAGGCACGATCGTAGCTGAGAAGAACCTGCTGGGTACGGATGTGAGCGCAGGGGAGAGCGGCTGCGAGCGCCGCGGCTGAGGCTTGTCCGTAAAGGGAGGATCCAGTGGGATGGGTGGATGCTGCTTGAGACAGGAAATGCTCTGTAGGGAATAACAGGCGTTTGAAGCGACGTTATTGACATCTCGTAGGTATGAGGAGGTGGTTATTCAGCGTACAAGGCAGATTAATGATTTCCAGCCCCGCAGAGGATGCGCTCTGTTTGTAACCGAGCATTGCCCAAGGCTTCATAGCTTGGAATAGCTTTGCAAATCGACTCCTGCTCCAACAAGTTTTGGAGGACCTGAGGTAAATACCGCTCCTTTTCCTGCCTTGTGCTCAGCTGCCTGGAATGCAGCTCCCCCCCTGCTGCAGCATCTCCCTGAGCAGAGCCAGGCATTTGTATTCTGGTGGCTGTGCCATGGTCTGGAGCTGAGCCCTGTACCCGGATGTGCTGGGCAGAGGCAGCCCTGGCACAGAGCAGCTCTCAGTTCAAACTGCCCCTTGAATTGTGCTCAGAACAGCTCAACCCGGCGAGTTCTGCTTTGTCCCGCGTCTCCCCGGCAGGACTTGAGGCTGTGAGTTGTGAGGTCTCACAACTTGAGGTTCTGAGAAGAGCTTGATGAAGTCAGGTTTTCACTGCAGCCTCTTCATGTCGTGGTGATACAAGAGGGTTTAGGAGGCCAAGCGAGGGTCGGGATTGCCCTCTGTGAGGTGCTGCCCCAGGCCAGGCTGGGGGCATCTTTAACCTGGGTAAAGAGTAGAGAAGAGGGAGCCACGCAGCAGCCTCGGGCAGGCGCAAGTTACGCATGGATCCACTCTGTTTTGGTGAGGAAATTGCAGAGATCTTAACAATAAACAGTCCCATCCCCACCTCCTCCTTTTCCTGAGCCCCAGAGAGCTTTTCCCGTCTGAGCTGTCCCCAGAATGACTGCACTTGCCAGGAGATGAGGTGTAAATCAGCACCAGAGCTGGATGGGAGTTGGGCTTCAGAACCTGCCTGAGCAAGAGCAGGTGGAGAGGAGGAATCTCATTTCAAGCACGTTCTGTTCAGTGTGTTTTGAAGGTTGCCATGAAAAGGCAGAGCAAGCCAGCGGGGCTGTCCTTGTCTTGATAAGGGCAGCAGCTTCCAAATGGCAGATATGGAAGTGCTGGCTCGCACAGATGACGCTGCTGGATCTCAGTGATGCAACCGGATGAGCTCACTCAAACTGTGTTGGTTTCATGCAAAGCTGCCTGGAAAAGCAGGAGCTGCAAAAAGGCAGCCAGAACTGCAAACACAGAAGTTAGATCTGTCACTGCCATTGGGTATTTATGCTCTCAAATGCACCCCTCGTGAAGCGGAGCAGGATGTCCCAATGCTGTGTGGGAACGTGGCTTGTTCTTTGTAAAGGCAGATGCTGCAAACCAAGGGGGAAATGCAGGAGCAGGAGGGTTGTTTAGGATGTTTGGGTTGTTTGGCAAGCTGCTGGGAAGGGGTGAGCTAAGAACTGGTGCATCCTGGTGTGTTGAACACTGTCAGTTAACCCCATACTTGTGTCCTCTACCTCTGTGCTCCTCCAGACCATCTGTCTGTGCAGCATGGGGCACTCCAGGGGTTCCTAAATCTCCCTTTAGCCTCTTTCCTATCACTATTTTGGGTAATGCTTCTATTTCAGCTCTGATGAGGCTGTTCTCCAGTCACTCAGGAGTTTACGTTATCTCTGGGGGAAAAAAACTGAAGCGCTCCAACAGCCCCTGCTTGGTTTGGTTTTATTTGCTGTAAAGTCACTCTTAAACCGCAAAGCAAAGCTCTTTCTTTCCCATCCCAGAGGTCACTTTGTGTGGCTGGAACCCCCCCGTTCAGCTGCATCATGGCAACGGTGGTCACTGAAAGGCTGAGCCGGCTCTTCATTAACGTGCAGCAGATCCCTCAGCTGCTGGCTCCCCTCTCTCCCTCCACCGTCAGCAGTTCCGAGGTGCCAAAGGTCTTCTGGAAGCCCTACATCCACACCGGCTACCGGCCCGTGCAGCAGACCTGGCGCTATTACTTCTCAACGCTCTTCCAGCAGCACAATGAGGCCATCAATGTCTGGACGCATCTGGTGGCAGCGCTGATCCTGCTGCTGCGGTTCCAGCAGCTCTCTCAGCGAGTGGATTTTGGGCAGGACCTGCATGCCCAGCCCCTCTTCATCATCATCGTGGCATCCATCACCTACCTGATGTTCAGCAGCCTCGCTCACCTTCTGCAGGCCAAATCTGAGTTCTGGCACTACAGCTTCTTCTTCATGGACTATGTGGGGGTTGCCATCTACCAGTACGGCAGCGCTCTGGTGCACTACTACTATGCAATTGAGCCGAGCTGGCACGAGAAGATCAAGGGGTTCTACATGCCAGCAGCAGCCCTGTTAGCGTGGCTGTCCTGCGCCGGCTCCTGCTACGCTAAGTACCGGTACCACCAGTCCACTCGCCTCCTGAGCCGGCTCTGCCAGGAGCTGCCCTCTGGCCTGGCCTACATGCTGGACATCAGCCCCGTGGCTCACCGCATCTGCGCCGCGCCACGCTCCGAGCGCGATGACCCGGCCCTGCTCTACCACAAGTGCCAAGTGCTCTTCTTCCTGATCGGAGCCTTCTTCTTCTCGCACCCTTACCCCGAGAAGTGGCTCCCTGGGAAATGCCACTTCTTCGGGCAGAGCCATCAGATCTTCCACGTGTTCCTGGTGCTCTGCACGCTGGCACAGATCGAGGCGGTGGTGCTGGACTACGAGTCCAGGCGCCAGATCTATTCCACTCTTCAAGGCAATTTGGCACATAATTTCTCTGCCCTGTGCCTCTTCACTGTGACCTGCTCTGTCCTCACGGCTGCTTACATGGCCCGGAAGGTGAAGAACAAGCTGAGCTTCAAAGAAGAGTAAGAGCTCTGAAGGAGAAGCGGGTGAGCTCACCTGACTGGTTGCTCTGGAGCCAGATGATGCTGGCACGAATTCGGGTGCAGGCTTAGAGAAGAGGAATGAAGCGCTTTGTGAGCTGTTACTCAGCAGTGCTCTCTGTAGGGAAGGAAAGAGCAAAGTAAGAGCTGCTTTTAATGTTGTAATTCAGAATTAACTCCAGCTTGCACTTACAATGGTCCCTGCTTTAATTCACGTCTGAATAAACAGCTGGAATCATAGAATCACAGAATGGTTTGGGTTGGAAAGGACCTTAAGATCATCCAGTTGCAACCCCGTGTCATGGGCAGGGACACCTCACACTAAACCAGGTCACTCAGGGCTCTGTCCAACCTGGCCTTGAACACTGCCAGGGATGGAGCATTCACAACCTCCCTGGGCAACCCATTCCAGTGCCTCACCACCCTCACGGTAAAGAATATCCTCCTTATATCCAATCTAAACTTCCTCTGTTTCAGTTTTAACCCGTTTCCCCTTGTCCTATCCCTATAAGTCCCTGCTGAAGAGTCCCTCCCCAGCATCCCTATAGTCCCCTTCAGACACTGGAAGCTGCTCTGAGGTCTCCACGCAGCTTCTCTTCTCCAGGCTGAACAGCCCCAACTCTCTCAGCCTGTCTCCATACAGGAGGTGCTCCAGCCCCTGAGCACCCTCATGGCCTCCTCTGGACTTGTTCCAACAGTTCCATGTCCTTTTTCTAAATGAAATAATCTTATGCTAGATCTAGAATATTTTATATCTACCCATATATAATCTTATGAATGAAATGACCTTGGCGCTGCAGCCCTGCCACAGCGGTGCGCTGGTGCCAAAGCAAGAGGTGAGCAGATCCCTCCATTGCTCGCTGCCGGCAGCGGTGGGATCCTGCCCACGGGAGCAGACCGCAGACAGGGGATCGAGTTTATTTGTTACCGGCTCAGGCCCCCTCCTATGGCTCTGGGCGCTGAGCGGAGCCGCCCGTGCCCGCAGGGCCCTGCCCCGCGCCGGGCCCTGAGCCCCGGTACCTCAGCCAAGCCTGGGCTTCCCGCCCGCCACCGCCTTTTATAGGGCACGGCCGGAGGTGGGCGGGGCTCCACCTGCCCTTCATCCCACCCCGCGGCTCTGATTGGTCAGTGTCCACCAGGAGCGCGCGCGGTGGCGGGAGCAGGGGGTGGTCCCGCGCAGGGGCGCTGCGGGCCCGGGCATGGATCGCGGGCGGTGTGGGGCCGGGGGCTGCGGTGTGTGGCTGGACACGGCCGGGGTGAAGCGCGGCGCGGAGCAGGTGGGGCCCGGCCCGGCCCGGCCCGGCGGGGGGGCACCGGGTCCTGGGGGCAGGAGCGGCAGAGGGAGGGGAGGGTCGGGGGTGCGGAGCTGTGGGGAGGGCGCGGGGCGGGCAGCAGAGCGCGGTGGGAGCGGGCTGAGGCCGCGGTGCTGAGCACCCTGCTTGGACGGGCTGCGGCCGCGGTGCTGAGCATCCTGCTTGGACGAGCTGAGGCCGCGGTGCTGAGCATCCTGCTTGAACAGGCTGAGGCCGCGGTGCTGAGCATCCTGCTTGGACGGGCTGAGGCCGCGGTGCTGAGCATCCTGCTTGGACGAGCTGAGGCCGCGGTGCTGAGCATCCTGCTTGGACGAGCTGAGGCCGCGGTGCTGAGCATCCTGCTTGAACAGGCTGAGGCCGTGGTGCTGAGCATCCTGCTTGGACGGGCTGAGGCCGTGGTGCTGAGCATCCTGCTTGGACGAGCTGAGGCCGCGGTGCTGAGCATCCTGCTTGAACGGGCTGAGGCCGTGGTGCTGAGCATCCTGCGTGAACGGGCTGAGGCCGCGGTGCTGAGCATCCTGCTTGAACAGGCTGAGGCCGTGGTGCTGAGCATCCTGCTTGGACGGGCTGAGGCCGCGGTGCTGAGCATCCTGCGTGAACGGGCTGAGGCCGCGGTGCTGAGCATCCTGCGTGAACGGGCTGAGGCCGCGGTGCTGAGCATCCTGCTTGAACAGGCTGAGGCCGTGGTGCTGAGCATCCTGCTTGAACAGGCTGAGGCCGCGGTGCTGAGCATCCTGCTTGAACAGGCTGAGGCCGTGGTGCTGAGCATTCTGCTTGAACGGGCTGAGGCCGCGGTGCTGAGCACCCTGCGCCGTGACCCTGCTGGGGCTTGGGCGAGGTGACCCCAGGGGCCCCTTCCCGCAGGCGGAGCTGAAGCGTTTAACAAAGGCGGGGATTGCCCCGCAGCGCCGGAGGAGAGGATTTGCTGGTTCCAGCAGCGCGCGTTCACCTGGTCCTTTGCACACGCAGCCCCTCGGAGCCAACCCCACAGCACCTCTGCGGGTCCTGGCAAGGAGATGCCGCTCCGCTGCTTCCACACAGAGCAGAGGCTCTCTGCCGCGCACGAAGCAAACCAGGATCTCGTCCTTCTTCAGCAGAACAGGTACCTGCGTGTGCCCCTGGGGGACAGCAGCCTCGGGCTGTAGTGGGAACCTCTTCTCGCTGTGCCCTCGGCAGCTTGGCTGGGCAGCAAAGTGCGTTTTGTGGCAAGGACAGCAAAGGTTAAAGGGTTGCATCCCCAAAGGGTTTTATTGCGATGGTTGAGCTGAATGCAGGCACCTTTTCCAGTGTTAGCTTAAAGCGTAAGTGAGAGCAGTCACAGCCAGGCTTCACTGGGGAGCAACCTGAGCGCTAAGCACAGCCCCAGCTTGGCTCCCAACACCGGAGTTCTCATTGGAGCATTGGGAAGGTTGATTCAGCCCCAGCACTGACACGTGTCCAGGTGAAAGCGTTCCCTGCTGGGTTCCTGATGGCATCCCGTGAAGGATGCTCCAGCTGGGAACGCTGCTTGGGCTGCGGTGGGGGGTTCATGCCAGGTTTGTTCCGAACAACAGCAGCCCTAAACTGCTGGTTAAGTGCCCTTGGAAGAGCGTTGCCACTGGAGGTGAGTGAGGAAAGGGTTTATGAAGGGTTGGACAAAGCCTTTTCTAAAGAACGGTGTTTAATCCTGGCTGAACCAGTGAAGGAATCGCAGGGGAACGGGAATATCCCTGCTCCTTTTGAACGTGTTGTGTGCTTTCCTCTCCCTTTTTTTGTTGGATTCCCTCAGTCCAATGCTTTTACTTATTCACTGTGTGCCTTTGGCTTCATCGCATGCTCCTACCTGGTCTGTCGGAGTGGTTCTTATTGTTGTGGGGGTTTTTTGCTCATTGTTCTTTTAGCTTGTCCTGAAGTGAGAATGACCTCACTTATACTGAGAGATTTATCAGTATTTATATAGTGTATCTTGACAGATATACTGTATTAGACTTCATATGGAAGGGTTTCAGAAGGAAACATGGGACTTGGTACCTTCATCAGGCAAGAAAAGCTGTCAGAGTTTCACTGTGGAGTTCTGTGTTTTGGGGCTGTTTTGGTAACTCCTGAGCTGCTGCTTCCGAAGGGAATGTCAGGAGGGAGCTGCCTGCATGGAGACGGGAGGGACTGGAGCATCCCACCGCGGGGAAGGTGGCCAACTCCATCTCCTCCAGTGGTTAAGGCTGCCGTTCACCTGCAGCAGCCCACAGGGAGGTGGTGGCAGCACCAGCCTGGCCTCGAGAACACAAGTGGCAGCTCTGTGCTGAGCATCAGGGAATGGTAGCGACTGGCCCCAAGCAATGAGCTCGGGTTTTACCTGATTCCTTCTTGTTTTCAGATGAAACAGACAAGGAAAACTGCAGGCCGCCTCCCTCCGTCCCGCATAAGGACTGGAAAGGAAAAGGTATTTCTGTGGCTGCCTGCCCTGTGAAGATCTTGGCTTTGCCGCGGATGGAAGGAGCCCAGCACCAACCACCCTTCCGAGGCGAGGAGGGGACAGCACCGGTTACAGCCCAGTGTTGTGCAGATCCTGTCACAGAGCCACAGGTGGAGGCCTCCAGTGGGGCAGGAGAGGGTCGCTGCTGCTCCAGCCTCGTGCGCTGTTCAGAGGGCACCCAGCTCATCCCTCACACACACAAGGCCCAGTTGGTGGCTGGAGAAGCAGCTTCGTCCAGCAGCAGCAGGGGATGCAAACCAGAGAGCCAGGAACCCCCTGAGGAGGCAAAGGCCGGGCTTGACTTCCACTGGAGACTTGGTGCAGAGCAGAATAAGAAAGCACAGCAAGGGAGCAGTGTTAATGCTTTAAGTGATTTTACTGGGAACAGAAACCCCGCTGTCATGAGCAGCAGGACCGGGGCTCCCGGCTTTCATCCGGCTCTGCAGGGACCAGGTAGAGCGTGGCCCCTGCGAGAGCGCAGCCAGAACACGGGTGCTGCTTCAGCCGAGGCGGGGTGGGACAGTCCCTGCAGGGAGCTCTTCACCCAGGACTCGGAGGGGAACAGGGTAATCGCTCACTGGGAGGTCCCATCTCCATGCAGGCAGCTCCCCTGCTCTCCCTCCAGGGGCTGTTCCAGCAGCGCTGCAGGATGGAGCTGGAGCGAAGGGGAGCAGGAGCCGGAGCTGTGCTATGAGCTGCTGTTCACGCAGGATTCGGCGGGGGGCAGAGTGATCAAGCACTGACACGAGCCCTGGAACGGGTTGGGCAGCCTCTGGAAAGCGTTTTGTTTGTCAGCACTGGGCTGGTGTCCCTGCTGCTCCTGTAAGTGTGGCTTAGGCAGCACCTGCAGCAGCCCCGTGCATCAGGCAGGACCCCTCTGTGCACATGCTTTAATAAAGGTAGAACTTGGAAGCACTCTGTGTGTGCAGTGGTTTGAGTGTTTGACTCCTGGTTACAGCCCGGGTGCCTGAGGTGAGTTTCAGAGTGAAGTTGTGGCAAAGAGGAGGAATTGTCACGGTGCACCCAAGTGTGAACAGTGCCAGCGCGGGGCCAGGAGCTCCTGTGCAGGTGGGATGCAGCTCGGTGCAGTGGGGCTGCCCCTAATGGGTTATGGCCTCCAGCTCTTGCTGTGGGGAGCAGTGAGGGCTTGGGCAATACAATGGGTCTGTGCCGGTGTCACTGCTTGTGGCAGTTGCAGTCTCAGTAACAGTGGAACATCCGGTATGCACATCCTGTATGCTGCACGTTCAACATAAACCCCTGCTTTTGGATGGGCTACTTTAGATGTTACCCGTTTTAAAGTGCAGAGACCAGCTGCTCCAAAACCCCGGGGTCACGAGCAGCAGAGTCCATTTGTGAGCACCATCAGGCTGCAGAACAGGCTGTCCTGGCAGCAGCAGCCACCTTTTGTTCTTTCTTTTTAAATGTCAGGTATGTCCTCCTTTACCACTGCAAATGGCACCTTTTAAAACAGCGTCACTTTCCCCTCGGGCCAGATTAATGTACAATAATTATGATGTACAATAGAGCGAACAAGAGTTATGCCATAGCTCAGAAGTGAATTGTGCTGATACACTTGTATATCCAGTCTGCACATGGAGCAGGCTCCTAGGAACCAGGAATTCTTGGTTACAGCTCCATCTTATCCACAGGCAGGTGTATTGCCATCAAATCCTTATACTGGGACAGGGAGAAGGGTCACATCATCTGCTGGCTCTTGGCCCACATCTGAGGGGGAGGAGTTGTATCAGCTCCCTAAGAAACCGATGAAGTCTTACCTGCTACTTCTGCTCCTGCTGGCCAGAGGCAGGTACAGGCCTCTTTTGCTTTTAAGGTGGGGATGAGGAGTTAATTGTTCCAGGGCTGAGGGCCGGTGCATTAACAAAGGCTTTGGCATCTGAGTGTGCTCATCTCCAGCACCACCAGCACCCACCTGGGCCGCAGCAGCTGAACTGTCACTCCCCAGCCTGCCCAAGATACAAACGCCCCCGCTGACATGTTTGGACACATGCATTAACGATATCAAGGACAGCCATTGTCTTATTAAGGCTCCATTTTATATAAAGGAATAAAATCCAACATCCTTTAAATACAGCCATGAGAACACTGCAGAGGTGTAGCTGAAGGAAAGCTCTTCAGTCAGTGAGAAGTGTAGCCACAGGCAATGCCAAGCTCCTTCATCCCCTTCCTCAGTGACAGCTCTTGTGGCAGGTGCTTGGTTCTTAGCAATAAATAGACCTTCTGAGTGCTAAATGAAGTACATTATCTGAATACAAGGACTAGTAATGAAACATTAAATTACTGGCAAGAAATGAAGGCCATTCTGTCATGCAGTTGTGGGGTAACTTACTTGGAAATACCCAGGGCAGCCTAAAACCACCCCGTGGCCCTTCAGTGGGACCGGGTGATTTGATCAATGCCCATGGGTTCATCCTGCCATGGGGCAGACACAGGTACCCGGAGGACAACTTCTGCTGCTGTCATTTAACCACCTCCTAAACACTGAGGGCCTGGAAGCGCTGGGTAGCTTATTCTCAGTAGCTCTGTACCATGCTCAGAACAAGCGACAGAACGGGCTCTTTGCATTCCTTTATACTGGAAATGGTAACTGGTCACACTGGGACGAGGCCGGTACAAGCTAATGCTTAATGTGAACCTAAGGAAAACTGTAGGTGGGAAGAACATCATCCAGCAGCACGTGTTTCACTCTAGAAGATCCTCAGCAATAATCAACATCAAAATACAGGTGGAAAAGAATTTCCATCTTCTTAAAAAGGTTTGTCTTAAATGTAACAATACATGGAAAACACACCAAATCCAAAGGGTCTTTCCTAAGTCAGGGTCCAGTGCAGAAACCATTTCTCATTGACAAAAGAGGCAAAAGGCTCCATCCTTAGGAAGGCAGCTACTGTGGAAAATACTGTGGGAGCAGTAACGCTTGCAGAGTTTAATGCCAGGAGCATCACTTCTCCTTCAGGGCCAGATCTTCATCCTTGAGGGCAAATTTTCTTCTCAGAACTTCTGCGATGAGAACCGCCGGGTCCTCCTCCTTCAGCGACGTTCGGTTTCTGCTTGGAAGACAAAAGCACAGCGTGTCAGCCAAGAGAAGTGCCAGCCCGATGCTTTACAGCTCTGGCTCGAGAGTCTTAAGTATCTTTCTGCAGCCTTTGTCATGGGTTTAAACTGAAAACTGGGGAAGTTCAGGTTACATCTAAGGCAGAAGCTCTTCCCTGTGAGGGTGCTGAGGCGCTGGCACAGGGTTCCCAGAGAAGCTGTGGCTGCCCCATCCCTGGCAGTGTTCAAGGCCAGGCTGCACAGAGCCTTGGGAGACATGGTCTAGTGTGAGGCATCCCTGCCAGTGGCAGGGGGTTGGAACTGGATGCTCTTAAGGTCCTTTCCAACCCAAACCATTCTGTATTAGCTTTTGCCCAAGCGGAGGAGATGCAAAAAGCATTTAAAACTTAAAAGCAGTCACCTTTCCTGCTGGCTCAGAAAACCTGGAGCTCATTCTGTGGATCAAAAGCTCAGCACTGAAGCTCTTTATAATTTTTATTCAACTGTGTTAATAACAAGTAAGTGAAATAAAACTTCATTATTTACAGCAACATATCCTCTACAGGAATCTGCAAGTAGTGTTGGAGGTGAAGTCCTGGAAGGATTTCTTTTTCATACACAATGGATAGCTATACAATGGCTAGGTGCTCTCCTAATTGAAGATGGGTATTTACATGTATTTTGAAGGAGGACTGGTACACATTTCCCTTCGCTTAGCTACTGCACATGTTTTTTCCTGTAGTGTTCTGTTACCAAAGCATCTTGTCTCTTTCAGCAAGCTGCTGAAAGATGTGCAACATGCACAGTTCTGCAAATGCTTCTCACTCATTCCTGAAGCTCCCAGGGTTGTGTTTAAGTACCGAGTCCTAAACAGGAGTATCAGAGAAGCCTGTGTACTTATCTCATTAAGCATCATTTGGTACCTTCACCTACTTAAAAGCATCACACACTCTTTAAGTGCAACAAGTGCTACATGAGCAGAACTGCACGTCACAGAGCGAGCACAGGGCTGCTCATTCCTCAGCATCAGCTCCAGGGAATGGGGTCTAGGAATTAATGCTCATCAAGTGAGGAACATCAGGGATTTAGGATTTATTTAAGGTAATTTTTCAGCTGCCTGTGATTTGTCAAACAGCTTTCCTTAAGCTACAATAACCATACCCTAAAATGTCACTGCTGAATGCAGGAAGCAAGTTAGAGGCTGAGGTGGAGAAGCAGCTGAGGGGACAGCAGTTCTGCTCCAGCAGGAACAGTCTCAAACTCTTGTGTTGAGGTGTTCCTAAGGCAGCTGCAGCAGCGTGACCCAGCTGAGGCTCACTGGCCTGTCGAAAGAGGAGAAGGGCCCTTTTGTCCCCTCTGTGCCCAATGAGGAGGGATCTGGCTGCTTCCTCCTCCCCCAAGTATACCCCAGACCCAACTCTTTGCTCTCCCCCATCTCCTGTGATGCTAAAAAGCATCAACGCTGCTGCTGAAGCCTTTCTTCAAGCACAAGCCTCTCACTCATTCACACAGCTGCTCCCCCTGGGTAACAGCAAAGGCACACACCTCCACCATTATTAGTTCTCATGCACTCTGTTGAGGGAATTAAAGTAAGACTGTGACCCATAATACCACAATGTTCCCTGTCACCCACGGGCTGCTTTTATCAGCCTCCCCCCATCACCTCCCTGCCCACAGGTAAGAAATGTCTTGTCTTTCCCCACCGTGATCTGGATCTGTACAAGGGGGGTTTTGCCCCTGAATAATGCACACTTCCCTGTTCACCTGGCACAGACAGCAGCAGTTTTCTCACCCCACAAAGTCTGCTTCCAGAGCAGGCCGACACACAGGCTGCACTACCTGCAACACTGAGAATCACCTTGTTCCCTGAGCATCTCAGCCCTAGAGGTACGCACGTTTAAACTGAAACCACTCCATGGCACAGCATGAAGCTCCTCGAGTTCCCAGAGCCCGGGGATGCCCATTAGAGTGGTGCTTTACAGGCTCCCAGGGAAGGTGAAACCTCACCCCAGCCCCTGACCTGCCACATACCAGGATTTTGCTTGAGATTCTCTCTCTCTCTTTGCCTAAGAATTCAAAGTCATTTTTGGATGACCAAAGCACTGCTTTGCAACAGACAGGGAGAAGGAAGAGGAGCAACACATCTGTTGGTCCATGAGTCCTACTCACCCCCAGGAGAGACTACAGGCATTTATATAAAGCGAGTGAGTGTTCAAGCTTCGAGTAATCTTTGACAACTAGGAAGGCTGAATACATTTCCCTCCTTTGACTGCATCACTTTATTTCAGTGCTGAGAATTTAATTTCTTTTGAACTGAATTAAGCAAAGATATCCAGGCATCACACAATGCAGGAACATGACACAACCTAATGACTGGATTCAAGCTGGAAAATGGGGGAACTGAACTTCCTCACTGTGATCTCACACTAAAGCAAAAGCAGCAGAGCTGATGTTAAAGCTGTTCTATCAGCTGGGCAGAACCTTGCCTCATCATGAGACAAGCAAAACCCTGCCCAAAGCTCAAAGCTGGGCCAGATGCAAAAGCTGAGAAGCTCCATGTATTAATTCCTATATGTGATAAAAAGCTGCTGAGCTTCCAGGGATGCTAACCAGGCCTCCAGGATGCTGTAAGCACCAGCCCCTGGAAGCACTGCAAGCAAAGCAGGCTGCTGATCCACATGGGCCTCCTTTAGTGTAGGTAAACAAGCTGGAACAGGCAAATATTGTGCTTACTGCTGCAGGTTCCCCTCCACTGCTTTCTATTGAGGCAGGTAAAGCCAACATTAAAAAATCCCAAACCCTGACACACGCTACCATGTTCTGCTATAAAGAGGAATTTTCCCACTGTGACTCACAGAGCAG